ATTCCTGCCCCTTCCATCCGGCCACCCCTCCTGTCTTCCTATCCCCTAAAATCCGCCACGGGAGAGCCCAACTCGGGGTGGCCCTAATTAACCGAGAAAACTCCTCACACAATCGGACGGCCGACCCTCCACTCCACCATTGCAATCGCAGGCCGCGCAGCAACTTTTCTCTTCCTCCCCCTCTAGCGACTGAACGACCAGCAAACACGACCCAACCGCCGTCTCCAGCAACGACCACCGACAGCCGCCAAAATGGGTAGAATGCACAGCAAGGGCAAGGGCATCAGCTCCTCTGCTATCCCCTACTCGCGCACCGCCCCCTCGGGGCTCAAGACCAACCCCGACCAGGTCGTCGACCAGATCTGCAAGCTGGCCAAGAAGGGTGCCACCCCCTCGCGAATTGGGGTTGGTCCTCCGTGACTCCCAGGGCATTGCCCGGGTGAAGATTGTCACCGGAACGTTGCGCTTGAGAAGAAGCCCGGGAAACGTGACAAGACATTTTGCTAATACATACGGTACAGGAAAACAAGGACCTTCCGCATCCTGAAGTCCAACGGTACGACCCCACTAGCAGTGTGAAGCGGTCGGGTGCGATGAACGTCCAGCAATGGACGTGGGAATAAGAAGAAAAAGCAAACTTCAAACCGGTTCGCGAAGGAGACGACTTTGCGTCGTTCTCCCGAAACGCAAACAAAAACTATGCCTCTGTACGGTCTCGGCTGACAGAGTGATCACTACAGGCCTCGCCCCGATCTTCCTGAGGATCTTTACATGCTCATCAAGAAGGTAAGCCAACCCCCTCAGTCCGCTCATTGCGACCCGGAGTGCAGTATTAACATATCACCTAAGGCTGTCGCCGTCCGCAAGCACCTCGAGCGCAACCGCAAGACAAGGACTCCAAGTTCCGCCTCATTCTCATCGAGTCGCGTGTCCACCGTCTTGCCCGCTACTACAAGACCGTCGGTGTCCTGCCCCCCACCTGGAGGTACGAGAGCGCCACTGCCAGCACCATCGTCGCTTAAGCGATGAGCTGCTCGCGAGTGGAGACCCGGACAACGGGTCCAGACGAACGTCCCAGCGGAGGAAAAATTACGGTGGTCATGGAGTTGGGGTTAGGAAACTGCATTTTCGGCAGCGCAGCTTGCTCCTTCTGGTCGTCACGACGATCATGATAGTCAGAGACTTCGTTGAAATGAAAGCAAAACGATTCTCGGCACCTCAATTCAATAATGCCGCCCTCAAGTCAACATATGCCTATGGGTATCTCTCGCGCGTGACATAAATGCTCGGCGCCCCTTTTGATCCCCCCCTTTGAACGCCTGTTCGACAGCCATTTGCCGACCTCGCCGCCCGTCTGGTCCATGCTACCATTGATTGCCGCCTTCCTTCTTCTCATATCTTTGCGCCCGCCTCGACTATGACAGCCTTGTATGTCGCAACACCTAGTTGTCTGTCTGCTCGAGTTCCTTGGATCGCTGGATGAGGTAATTGCCCAGAACGCGAAGAGGGTCCTTGGGTCTAGGACAGCGTCAGCAACACCAACTAGATGGTTTTTTCAGAGTAGCGACTCACTTGTCTTTCGCAATCTGTTTCATGCCGTCAAGCAGCACAGTCGTGACATTGTTGTTGAGATACTGGCGGACGGGATCGCCGTGAGAAGCAGCCTTGTCAGGCATTGTGAACCCTGGGTCAGGATGGACCGAGCCAGCGCGGGAGCTGCCAGGCTCCTTGTCGTGTTGCCATTAACGGTGCGACTGGTGTAGCCGTGCGAGGCATGGGGCTAGCAACAGTAGGGGTGAAGGACTGGGGAGCAGGAGCGGGCGACTACGAGGGATCACAGAGTCAGCTGGGATGCAGGGCATCGCAAGTCGTTGGCACCCCTTACCGGCGCGTTGTCGCCAGTGGGCGCATCGGGCATCAGCACATCAGCAGTAGCGGCAGCCGTCTCCAAGGTTGACGTAGGATCTGTTGAGGAGGTGGGGGCGAGCTCTCTGGCTGCCACGGGTTCCTCAATGGCTATCTTTGTTCCATCGTCGGGAACATCCACAGATGCGAACACATGTGCGGGAGTAGGCGCGGGAGCATCTACAACAGGCTGGTCGGCGGATATTTGCGGGGTGTCCGCAGCGTTCAGTGTGTCTGACATTGTGCTGTAGTTGATTGAGATAACGTTTGTGTGGATGCAGATTGCTCAAAAGTCAACGTTGCTGATTGTAGTGTGTCGAAGTTGTTTGCCAATCGATGTTGCAAGCCTGATGATGAGATTGAATGGGTCTGAGTGGACAGGCGGCAATGTGGTTTTGTGGGAGTTGATAAAGTAAGGACTGTTGTCAATTCGTCGCTCGCCACCTGAGTGTATATCGTGTTGTCGTTAGGCTGTTGAACCAGTCTCAGGTCTTCATGAAGTCGATGGGAAGATGCTAGCCTTGTTGCGTGCCGTCACTCAACGTAGGCTCCTCGTTGTGCGACATGGCTTGTAGAGGGGCTATGCTTCTAGCGCTATTGTGCTGTGACACAGCGCGAAGTCAGCTGACCTCGCGTCCCTGTGACGCTGCACATCGCCACGGCCAGCCTGTGCGTGTCGCGTGAATTTGCCATCTCCATCAAGCAAACATCATAAGATTCATGCGCACAGCTCGATCGGCTAAAATGACGGATCTGAGCAACCATTATGGATGACTTTGTTCAACGGCGACCTCGGGCCCTCGCCTCTAAACCTGAATTGCTCCGGCCAAAGTCGCCCTCACCCGAGGAGCCTCCCATGAAGAAGCCTAAGGTTGAGGATGGCGCTCCAGATCACACAGTTGCAACAGATGCTGTCGGCTGGTTCAACCAGGACTCTGATGAAAAACTCGCAGTTGCTTCACATGAGGAAGATGTAGAATCGGAGAGTCGGGAGACTCGGCATCACCATCCCGCCATTGAGGATGCATTACCACCAGTCGAGACAGACAAGGAAGCTATCGAAAGATATGAGTTATACAAGGCATCTCAGTCCTCAGATGTAGACGAAAAGCCTCAGTGGGTCAAGGGTAAAAGCTCCATTTACGTTGATGCTTTCAATCTGGCACTGGATACAGTGTTGGAAGACGAGTCTCACCTGTTCGACATGAGAGAACGGACTGTTTTTGAGCAATGGAGGCTCCTTGACTACCAGAGTCAATATCTGTGAGCCACCTCCATCGTCATTCAAGGACGTCGAAACTAATGCTCAAATCAGCTACGTTCGTCTTTTCCTCCGTAAGACGTCTGCGTGGCATCGTTCCGACCGACTCGGGTATCATAGTGATATCTCGCACATGGACACAGCCATTGCAAGCCTTCAGGAAACAAGAGAGCTTCCAGAAGAAGCTCCAAGCTCACAAGACGACCCGGTGAAAGGTGTTGCTCTTGAAGAGTTTGGTCTCGGCGACGACTTCACATTTGCCGACAGCTCTGAGGAACACATTACAACGGTGGACGAAGCTGCGACCCTACTGGGACTCGAAGAGCTTCAAGGCTTTGTGCAAAGAAGCCAAGGTTCAGGGGAAGAACAAGGCAGGACTCGTCAAGGCACTCTGCCGCATGAGCTATCAACAGGCAGGGCTTATGTCTGTCGGCCTGCAGAGGTCGGCGAGTGGGAGTCGCAGTAGCAAGGAGCCATCGCCCGTCAAAGATATCTCGCCGGTAGCCTCTCGATTACCACCGACCTTGACGAAACAAGACTCGAATCGCGCTCAGCATTTCTTGGACAAGATCCTGGCGATTACAGGCCCCTGTATCCGACTGTCGCCCTTGACGTACAAGTTGTTCGAGAGGGTGCATCTTGTCTTTTACCGGTCAACAGAATGGACCGAAAAGTCATTGACAACAATCATCCTTGCCAAGATTGCCCGGCGCAACTTTCCAGAGTACATTGTCTGTCGAACGTCAAATATCTTCAAGTCAAGGAGACATCTCCTAGAGTTCGAGGCGGGTGTTCGTCTCGAAGCGGAGGTCGACCAAATCCTAGAATTTCATGGCCCACCCGGAAAAGAAGGCTTCAGCAAGGTTATGGATATCTTCGACAGGATTTACCCTCGATGGCAGGTGCTCATTCAGGAAGAGCTTATCAAAGAGGCCACAGTCTACGATCCAGGTGAAGGAGCCTATCTGAGGCGATTCACGCCGGTGCATTCGTATACACGCATCATCCACAAGGCCACATCGGTCCTCGGCCGCTTGAAGGAGCACAAGAAGGAGCATGGCCTCCTGACCGAACTGCTCGACCAGAATCTGTTCCACCCGGCGCGGCGCGGGAGCTGGTATCAACGAAAAGCTCTACTGGAAGAACACTACATGCATGCACTCGACCCGGCTCCCGCGTCTGAAAATCTAGAAAAGCAGAAGAGGCACTGGAAGAGAATCGCCATGTCGACATGCGAAGCCGGACTCCAGGACAATGACTGCCACGTCATATTTCACTACGACTTGCAGAAGCGCCTCGTTAAGATCGAGAAGCAGCTTCGCATCCCATTTCGTGAGCAGCACGATTTCGGTCACATCCGGCTGAAGGCCCCAGAGGAGCACACAGTGGAGGGTGTGCAGCTGAAGGAGGTAGACCCCATTGGCAAGAATGGGCGTCAGGCCAGCACCAAGACGCATTGGATAGATGAAGAGGAGGACGGGGGTGAATGCAGTGTTGAGGAGATGTGCCTGAGCTCCTACCGCAGCAAGGGTTGGAAGGGATACCATGCCGAAGGAGGCATCATCCGCACACTGTTCGCCTACCTCTTTTACGACGTTCTATTCCTCTACGTTCCGAACGTATTTCAGACGGCGTATCAGACATGCCCGCTCGACTTGCACACCGACTCTTTCTATCCGACACGCGCTTCCGAGATCAACACCGGCTGGTGGAGATTGCCAACGGGGCCCAGAGCGCATCATCCGGCAGGTAAATGAGCGAGAGCGGGACAGGCGGACATGCGTAGTGGGCTTGAACTGGGATTACGACGTGGAAGATTTGGTCGAGCTCGTCGACTGCTTCAACAGCAGCGCACTGTCCACGATCTGCAAGGTGATGGCGCAAGAGTTACGCCAGCGCGGAGGTGGCATCCCGGACCTGATCTCTGGCGGACCGAGCCCCAGAAGGAGTGCATGTTCGCCGAGGTCAAGAGCGCGAAGGACCGTATCAGCGATACGCAGCGGTTGTGGATTCTCGTGCTGACGGGCACCGGTGTCAGGGTCCGCGCTCTGCAATGCTGTCGCGCGCGAGATCAAGGTGGTCGACTGAGGCGTGAGGATAACCTGGGCATGGACCAGTCGGTTGCGTTGCATGGCCATCGCGTGTGACAGCGGCTGGCAGATTGCAGCAGTGTTCCTATGCACGGCGGGCGAGTGACATGACAAGACACGAACGGTGGCGATGCTTCGAGACTTTCTTCATCTCGTTTCAGAAACTACCATGGTTGAACGCGCGGTTCTGACAGATGAGGTCGCCCGCCAGGGCGGCCTTCGATTCGTCCTGTTTCCCTCGTGGGCAAATGATGGTCGACCCCGGCAAGATTGTCGCAGGGGCAATGTGAAACGAGCTTGGGCCAAGAATAGCAACAATCCTCGAGATGCGCTGCAGCTGTGAGTGGTTGAAGGTTTTTGCAGAAGCAAAAGCTTCCATGGAGCGAAGCGCGTGGGCATCCTCAGCTTGCCGGGCTGGTGATGATGCAGCACATTTCGACACATCACGAACTCTGGTCGTTTCAGCGACCGCCCTATGCTTGGCTCTTGGTTCAGGAGCTTCGACGGGTAGGTTTCCGATCTCTCGTGAAGCGTGTCTGGGAGAAAGAAAAGGGTTCATCGGAGATTTCGGTCGACCCAATCACAACCCCCTTCCTCAATGCAGCGGCCCCGGTCATATCTCGCTGCCAGAGTCGGTCAGGTGCTCGAGGCCCCGGTCTTGTTTTTCTCTGCCCTCGCTGCTGGGCTTCGACCAGCTCACCCGAGCAGACAGACGCCAGGGCAACAGAGGCAGGGGAGGAGGAGGGGCGTTCGGCATAGGCATCAAGGTTGGCGTCGGCGCCAGCAGGCAAGCAACGCACTCTAGCACCAACATGGCATCGGTGACAAGCGCGTGACCAAGGCGCCGGCAGAGTGAGCGAGCGTGTTGTGAGAAGAAGCCAGAGACCAGGGTTGGGAGGAGGGGAGGGGGGGCCAAGCAAAGGGCTTAAACTTCGCAGCAGCAGCTGCTGCAGCACCGGAAGCACAAGACAGATCAAGTCGTCACACTGGCTCGTTTCGGCATGTCGACGTCCGATTCGCCGCAAGAAGGGGGGGAAGGGTTACGTGCCTGTACATGTACGTGCTGTATGTGCCGGCTTTGCCTGCCTGCTTGCCTAGCTGTGTGTGCCTCTCCGTCGCGCTGCTGCAAGTTGCGTTGCGTCGTGCGCTGCGCTGCTGCGTTGCGTTGCGTTGGGGCGCTTTGTGCTCCATGCGCGCCGCGGCAGGCAGGCCCATGATCACCGTCTTCTTCGGCGGTTCTGTGATGTGGGCACATTGTCTCGGAGGGAGGGGGGGGACGACGGGGGCCAGGCGGTTCCGTCCCAAGATGAGATGGCAGATTCGTTTTCCGCCGTGCGCCCTCTCACAAGGTCTGTCTTTCTCTCACCGAGGTAAAAAACATCGGACGTCCATTCAGCTGCTTCAGCCCACCTTGACCTCTCACCTCGCTGAAGGATCCCGAGCGGCCAGACCGTCACCTCGATTGTCGACCAACCAACCATCAGCAACAACAAGGAGAAGAAGAAGAAGTGTGCGCTGCGGATGCGGAAGCACACGATGTGAAAATGCAATCAC